GGAAAATGTTCAGCTAGCTTATGTGCTCCAGAACTCAACACAGCGGCGGTGCGTGTTAAAGGGACACTGCGGCAGCTCCTCCGTCTAACTGCAGATTTTTAAATATTATTTTTAACCTGTAGGTGAACCAAAGCTCAGGTACAGACGGCACCGACAACACTGTACCACAACGACCACAGGTTCTTCAGCTGTAAACATCCAGTTGTGTTCAACAGGTCTCAGGCGCCGGAGTACAGCTGAGTCCAGTTGCTATCAAAATACAATGGTGGCATAACCGGAAATAGAATCGTGTTTCAAAATAAAGGCACATAGTGTTCTCGGTGTTTTGGTGATCACTGATTTCCGTCATGTCTAAGTCTAAGGAATGAAATCTATTTTCTTTCAAACGTTTTTTTTGTTTTGGGAGTGGGGTAGAATAAACTGAGCTGGAATATAAACCAGATAAAATCATTAGTTCAATATATTTTCAGATTGTTTTTCTCTATTGTTGCCAACCTGATCAACTAAAGGTGCCATACAGAAGCTCAACACTTGACAAAGGTCTGGTGATAGAACTAAACAAAGACCTGTCTGAACCGGTTTTCATTCCATCATCAACACCAGTCACCTGTAGAAATGTGAACTGAAATGATAGTTCAAAACAATCAGTTGTTTCAAACGTCTTTATTGTGTGTGATTAATAAGTCGTAGTTTAATGTATTTGACGACAGGTTTATTTTATTTTGAAGGCGAGAACCGGAACTGGCCTTTTTCATAATTAAAACTTCGCAGGCCACTTGTTTCCTCTTCCCGGCGGCAGTAGCAGCGGCAGCATCAGTGTCAGTGACCGGTGAACCGAGCAGTCGTTACTGAGCGGCGGTGATCGCGGAGTCGGATGAGGAGACCTCCTGCAGCCTGGGTCCCTCCGACCACCCTGACTACTCGGACTCAGGACACACCATGATGTCCCCGAGTTGACACCCTGCTATCTTTTGGAGGAGGTGACGATCTGCTCCTCCTCCTCCGCCTCGGTCTGCCGCTCACCTGCTCCTCTGTCGGGGTGGTGTTGATATTTTTCTGTTTTTGGGACTTTTAATTTTTGATTTTTAAATATTTACCTTTTTATTAATCTTCTGCGGGAGGAGATCCATGTTTGTGTGGAACCACAGACGAACCTCAGCTACGATGAAGCCGTGAAGGAGTCACCTGGCGTGGCCGTCAGTCCAACAGGAGGCGCGGGATGGCCAATCACGAGCAGGACGTGAGTTTGAACACCTCGAAGAAGAATCGATCAAGTGTGTCGTATCGATTATCAGAGAAACTCTTGTTCATCAATTTGTGTCTGATTACTCAAAAAAGTCGTTTCTAGAAAAAAGTGTAAAATTGTAACTTTTCAGCTTTTTTTCGTTTCTATTGGATGAAGATACAGATGTACGAACAAAAACGTTTCTTAGTGGCTAACTGTTAGCACTGCAGCTGGATAACCTTTAGACGAACATGAGTTGTTAGCAGATGTTTTAGCTAACATTAGCTAAAACGACTAAAGAACTTTTAGTTTTATCACTGAGTCAGTTCTCATCCACACAAACCAAGTTGTTGTTAAGTTCAGGACTGATGTCGTTTCTTAAACAAAACAACTTTTACTTTCTATAAAAACAGAGGGAGAGAGAGGGAGAGAGAGAGAGAGTCTTCATAATTCTGTCTCTCCAGTTAAATGTTTTTGCTGCCCTCTGATGGAGGAGCTGATCCTAGAAGTGTCGTCACTGATCACCAAATTAACACCGACACCAATCAGTGATTCCTGTGTCTTCTTTGTGGCTGACAAACATTAGGTGCATTACTGCCCCCTAGAGGATGGTGTACCAGTGTTTAACATTAGGAAACAGGAAAAAGGTGTTACCGTGGATGGATAGATAAGTGTGTTTGAGCTACTGCTGGTACCGGTGCTGGTGGTACTGCTGCTGGTACTCCTGCGGGTACTGCGGCGGGTACTGGTACTGCTGCTGGTCCTCCTGCTGGTACTACTGCTGGTACTGGTACTCCTGCTGGTACTGCTGCTGGGACTGGTACTGCTGCTGGTACTGGGACTGCTGCTGGGGCTACTGCTGGTACTGCTGCTGGGACTGGTACTGCTGCTGGTACTGGGACTGCTGCTGGTACTACTGCTGGTACTACTGCTGGTACTGCTGCTGGTGCTGGTACTGCTGCTGGTACTGGTACTGCTGCTGGTACTCCTGCTGGTACTCCTGCTGGTACTGCTGCTGGGACTGGGGCTTCTGTTGACCAGCGGGGCGCGGCCCTGCTGTGACCCCACCTCAGGCATCATTGTGTCCAAACAGCTGATGGAGCAGCCGGGTGGAGCTTCAATAATTGACGAGGTTTTCAGACGTAGATAAACATCACTCTCAGGAGTACAGTCCACTCCACGGTGTCAGGTTTCAGCCGCGGCAGGAAACGGATCCGGTTTCACCAAATACAAGAAAGGATTTCCAACGTGACAGAGAGGACTGGGCGGGGGTGAGGAGGGTGAGGAGGGTGAGTCACGGTGAGGGCTGTGATGACAGGACTTGGGTTACACTGGGCTCTGGTGTCAGTCTGGGTCCAGGTCTGTCTGGGTCCAGGTCTGACTGGGTCCAGGTCTGTCTGTGCACTGGACTGATCACTGCCATCATTCTTGATTCTTGGAAATCTCCCTGGTTACTGTAATATTACTGTAGTATTACTGTAGTATTACTGTAGTATTACAGTAGTATTACAGTAGTATTACAGTAGTAATACTGTAGTATTACTGTAGTATTACAGTAGTATTACAGTAGTATGACTGGTTCCTCTCTGGCGACACAGACACCACAGTCGCACCGTGCAGGTAGTTCGTGGTGT